TGGGCTCAAGCGAGTCTCCTGCCTCAGCCTCCCAAGTAGCTGGGACCACAGGTGCCCGCCACAACACCTGGCTGTTTTTTTGGTTGCAGCCGTCATTGTTGTTTTGGCTGGCCCAGGTTGGATTTGAACCCGCCACCTTAGGTGTATGTGGCTGGTGCCTTAGCCACTTGAGCCACAGGTGCCGAGCCTAGAGATACGTCTTTATCTGGCATTTTAAACTATTGTTTAAAATAAGTTTCACGGATGGCACCTCTGGCTCAGTGTGTAGGGCGCCGGCCCTGTATACTGAGGGTAGTGGGTTTGAACCCAGCCCTGGCCAAACTGCAACAAAAAATAGCCAGGCATTGTGGCAGGCGCCTTTAGTCCCAGCTACTTGGGAGGCTGAGGCAAGAGAATTGCCTAAGCCCAGGAGTTGGAGGTTGCTGTGAGCTGTGATGCTACAGCACTCTACTGAGGGTGACAAAGTAAGACTCTGTCTCTAAAAATAAAAAAAATAATAAAATAGATTTCATTTGGTGCTCTAGTCTATAACTGCATTGTGTCAGCTGTGTGAACCTAAAACTCTTAAACCCAATTAATTTGGTGAACAATTTTTTTTTTCACTTTATCACCTTTGGTAGAGTGCTATGGTGTCACAGCTTATAGCAACCTCCAGCTCTTGGGCTTAGGAGATTCTCTTGCCTCAGCCTCTCAAGTAGCTGGGACTATAGGCACCTATCACAACGCCCAGCTATTTTTTGTTGCAGTTTGGCTGGGGCTGGATTCGAACCCGCCATCCTTGGTATATGGGACTGGCGCCCTACTCACTGAGACATAGGTGCTGTCGAACATTTTTTTTTTTTTTTTATTGTTGGGGATTCATTGAAGGTATAAGAAACCAGGTTACACTGATTGCATTTGTTAGGTAAAGTCCCTCTTGCAGTTGTGTATTGCCCCTAAATGGTGTGTCACACACTGAGACCTCACCCTCCTCCCTCCTTCCCTCTCTCTACTTTTTTTTTTTGTTGTTATTGTTTGCAGTTTTGGCTTGGACTGGGCTTGAACCTGCTTCCCCCCCCCCCTCCCTTCCATTCCCTTCACATACACCCCCATATATGGGGTGGGCACCCTACTGTTTGAGCCACAAGCGCTGCCTGCTCTTCCTTTCCCCACCTCCTTCCTTTTCTCTCTCTCTACTCTCCCCTTCCCCCACCCCCCCACTGTGTACTAGGTCATTAATTGTCCTCATATCAAAATTCATGCTTCTCTGTTCTTGTGGTGCTTTACTAAGAACAATGTGTTCCACTTCTGTCCGGGTTAATACAAAAGATGTAAAGCAGTGGTTCTCGACCTATGGGTGGTGACCCCTTTGTAACAATGAAAATACATCCTGCATATCGAATGTTTATATTAGGATTCATAACAGTAGCAAAATTATAGTTATGAAGTAACAATGAAAATAATTTTATGGTTGGGGGTCACCACAACATGAGGAACAATATGAAAGGGTCGCGGCATTAGGAGGCATTAGGAAGGTTGAGAACCACTGATAAAGTCTCCATCTTTTTTGATGGCTGAATAGTATTCCAGTGTTTTTCCTAAGCTTTCTTTGAGGATTTTTATCGTTTCATGCCTTAAATTTAAGTTCTTTATCCATCTTGAATCAATTTTTGTGAGTGGAGAAAGGTGCGGGTGGATATCCGGTTCTCCCAGCACCATTTTTTGAATAGGGAGTCTTTCCTCCAGTGTATGTTCTTGTTTGGTTTATCAAAGATTAGATGGTTGTAAGATGTTAGTTTCATTTCCTGGTTTTCTATTCGATTCCAAATGTCTTTGTCTTTATTTTTGTGCCACTACTATGCTGTCTTAATCACTATGGCCTTGTTGTACAGCCTAAAATCTGGTATGCTCATGTCCCTGGCTTTGTTTTTATTACTAAGAACTGACTTAGATATACGGAGTTTTTTGGTTCCATACAAAATGAAGAATCATTTTTTCCAAGTCTTTAAAGTACGATGTTGGTATTTTAATAGGCATGGTATCAAATGGGTAGATTGCTTTGGGAAGTATAGACATTTTAACAATGTTGATTCCTCCCAGCCATGAGCATGATATAATATTCCATTTGTTAATATCTTCTGCTATTTCCTTTCTTAGGGTTTCATAGTTTTCTTTATAGAGGTCCTTCACCCTTTTGTTAGGTATATTCCTAGGTATTACATTTTCTTTGAAGCTATGGTGAAAGGAATTGTGTCCTTAATTAGCTTCTCATCTTGGCTGTTATTGGCGTATGCAAAGGCTACTGACTTGTGGACATTGATTTTAGATCCTGAGACATTACTGTACTTTTTGATGACTTCCAGGAGTCTTGTGGTTGAGTCTTAGGGTTCTCTAACTATAAGATCATATCGTCGGCAAAGAGGGAGAGTTTGACCTCCTCTGCTCCCATTTCGATGCCCTTTATTTCCTTCTCTTGCCTAATTGTATTGGCTAGAACTTGCAGCACTATGTTGAATAGTAATGGTGACAGAGGACAACCTTGTCTGGTTCTAGTTCTAAGTGGAAAAGCTTTCAGTTTTACTCCAGTCAATAAAATATTAGCTTTGGGTTCATCTAAATAGCTTCAATCAGTTTAAGAAATGTGCTATGTATGCCTATACTCTTCAGTGTTCTAATTAGAAAAGTATGCTGGATTTTATCGAATGCGTTTTCTGCATCTATTGAGAGGATCATGTGGTCTTTGTTTTTGCCTCTGTTGATAGTGTGAATAACGTTTATGGACTTGGGATGTTAAACCAGCCTTGCATCCCTGGGATGAAACTTACTTGATCATGATGTATGACTTTTTTGATGATAAGCTATAATCTATTGGCTAAGATTTTGTTGAGAATTTTTGCATCTATAGTCATTAGTGAAATTGGTCTGAAGTTCTCCTTTTTAGTTGGGTCTTTTCCTGGTTTTGGTATCAGGGTGAAGTTTGCTTTGTAGAATATGTTGGGGAAGATTCCTTCCTCCTCAATTTTTTGGAATAATTTCTGAAAGTATGGGAATAAGCTCTTCCTGAAAAGTTTGATAGAATTCTGGTGTGAAGCCATCCGGACCAGGGCATTTTTTTGTTGGGAGATTTTTAATTGCTTCTTTGATCTCAGTGCTTGAAATTGGTCTGTACAGGAGCTCTATTTCTTCCTGGCTAAGTCTGGGGAGAGGGTGTGATTCCAAATATTGATCCATTTCCTTTACATTGTCAAATTTCTGGGCATAGAGTTTCTGGTAGTATTCAGAGATAATCTCTTGTGTCTCGGTGGCATCAGCTGTTACTTCCCCTTTATCATTTCCAATTGAGGTTACTAGAGATTTTACTTTTCTATTTCTAGTTAGTCTGGCCAAAGGTTTATCTACTTTGTTTATTTTTTCAAAAAACCAATTCCTTGTTTCTTTAATTTTCTGAATGATTCTTTTGTTTTCATTTTCATTAATTTCTGATTTAATTTTGGATATTTCTTTTCTTCTGCTGGGTTTAGGCTTAGATTGTTCTTCTTTTTCCAATTCCATTAGATGGCTTGTGAGTTTGTTGATGTGCTCTTTTTCTGTTTTCGAATGTAGGCATCCAAAGTGATAAATTTTCCTCTCGGGACTGCTTTTGCAGTATCCCACAGGTTTTGGTAGCTTGTGTCTTCATTGTTGTTATACTCAAAGAAGTTAATGATTTCCTGTGTTATTTCTTCCTGTGCCCAACTGTCATTCAGCATAAGGTTGTTTAATTTCCACACCTTTGTATGAGGTTGAACGTTTTTTGTTGGAGTTGAGTTCCACCTTTAGTGCCTTGTGGTCTGAGAAGATACAAGGTAAAATTTCAATTCTTTTGATTCTGTTGAGGTTGTTTTATGTCCTAGGATATGATCAATTTTGGAGAATGTTCCATGGGGTGATGAGATGAATATGTATTCTTTAGCTTTGGGATGCAGTGTTCTATATATGTTTGTCAAGCACAGTTGTTTTAGGGTCTCATTTAAGTCCCTTATATCTTTGTTTAATTTCTGTTTAGAGGATCTGTTCAGCTTTGTAAGAGGAGTGTTAAAGTCCTCTGCTATTATGGTGTTATTGGATATCATATTGCTCAGACTAATTAAGGTC